TCATTAACCTCATCAGTAGCAGCCTGTACTGGAGGTTTAAATAATTGCAATCTTTCTTCAACATTTTCCTCCGGGTTCTAAACTTTTTAATACAGTTCTTCTTTAGGTGCAGGTCGGCTCGAACTATGCAGTTCCTTAGAACTGGGTGGTTTAACTCCCACTGCAGGTTGCTTATCACTTGTCATTTTCAGCACTAATTACTATAAAACCAGTGTTCTCTTGCAGCTGTCTTGTTAGGTGTTTGTGAATTCTTATACTTTTTCATCAACATACGCATAGTTTCCGCCAGTAGCAAGTGATATCCATTGCTACATCGCTTTTAATGGTACTTATAAAACCTATAAAGCTTCAACAAATTCAGGTCTTCTGAAACAAGTTAAGAACAAGTGCAATGTGCCTGTGTACTGTATGCTTCGCTGTCGAGGAGGAGATTTCGTTTACAGCGACAGTGAAATGGACACTATGCTTGAAGATCTTAAAGTTTTATCAACGTTTGGAGCCGACGGATTTGTATTTGGAGCACTTACCGTGTACGTTATCATCCAAAAATCGCCGCCTAACTCTTCAAGCTACAAATTCCTTCTCAATTCGTTCCTTGATCTTCAAACCTACTTTCTATATCAGCAAATGTTTAAACCTTTCTAGTACAAATGAGGTAGACATTGGCAATTGTCAACGAATAACTGCTGCAGCAAAACCTCTACCAGTAACCTTCCACAGAGCCTTTGATCACTGCAATAACTGGCAAAAATCTATTAATTGTATAATAGACGCAGGCTTCAGCACCATTTTAACCAGGTACCATACGGTAAAATTTCTTTCAGTGGCTTTTAAACGGCAATCAATAATTCCATTGCAAGCAAGTTACATTTCTTTTTCATCTTCTAGTTGCAAGCAAAAAATTGTTACCGAAGGAGTCAGCTTGTTGCGAGAGATCACCAAAGAATATAAGGGAAGGATTGAAATAATGGCTGGTCAGTATAGCAGTATAGTTACAATAATCTTATTTCTGCATTCAGCTTCAAAATTTTCTTATGGACTCTCATTTTTTCTTTTTAGGGTCTGGGGTAACACCAGAAAACATATCTGTGCTTCTAAAAGAAGCTCCGGACTTAGATGCAGTCCACAGCTCTGCTTCCGTGCCACGAAAGAGTTTACAAGCTGCACCCAATACCACAATACCCTTGGGTACCTTTGATGGAAATAACCAGAAAGAAACTTCCAAAGACATCGTATCACAGTTAGTCGCAGCAGCAAAAACGAAATGACTACTCACTTCTTTCTCATTCACCCAACTGTTTTAAAAGTTCATAACTAGAAATGGCTCAATTTCTAACAGCATGCAAAAAGTGTGATTTCAGAGCTGTTTTGTGAAACGAATAAAGTACACTGCAGATAACTTTATAGTGATCACCACTGCGGTTGCGTACAAAATTACTTGTACCAGAGGTCCTTACCTAAACAACATCACGAAATCTAAGAAAGATCACGGAAAGCGACAGGAAGAGACAGTACTGAATTGTGACATGAAATCAAAGCAAGGAAAAAATTACACAGTGACGTCTAAATTTCTACTCGTTTCGCGGAATTTACAAAATATCCTTAAAAATAACGCGCTGCCAGATCGACCGCTAAAAAAACACTCATGCGATCTATAGTGCAATACACGCGGCCTGCATGAACACTTCGCAAAAGCAGAGATCACACTGTCCAAAAAAATTTGGAGCAAAACTGTTGGTCCCGCAATTACTGAACGGAGTGCACTAGACAAAATAAATTACCATCCCATACAATTGCTACTCGGCTTCTAACATCCCCTAAAACCACTACTCGCATTGTACGAGCAATGTAAGGATACCGCAAAGAAAGAAAAATGGTTAAAATCAAATTATCCTTCACTATACAACCCGCAATAAGAATCAATAAAGCATACTTAACTAAATAACAATTAATCCTCATCTGCAACAATCTTAAGTCCATCTATTGGACTGTCAGCTGATTTTGAGATGTTAATCTCGTTTGATCTGTCATTGCTGCTGTTGTTACTGAGATTGGGCTCCAAATTGGGACTCCTCGAGCTAGTATTATGCTTCTGTGGCACTGATGATAAAGCTAACCAACGGCCAGCGGACGGAGGTGGTGGCTGAGGACCGCCTTGCAAATGCCTATTAAAAGGCAAACCTCCCATTGGACTGAAAAACTATGATTAAATTGGGCAAATGCATAAAGCTTGAAGGGAATGAAACGATAGCTGAAAATAGGCGACTCACCGAGGCTGATATTGCACCCCTCGAGGATGATCGGGAAGTGGTAAGAGTGATTTTCTTGCCGGTGCCATTGGAGGTATGCCCATGCGAAATGGTATAGGAGGTTGTGGTTGGTCAGACTGATTCCTTAAAATTGGCTTTGCAGGTTTTAGAACATGTGGAGGTGGTTGTGTAGAAACATTCTGAACAGTAGACGTTGATGTGCTAGCCGAAGTTCCTGTAGTTGCTGCTGAGTTAGTGTTGTTATTTGACTGCTGTGTAGAATCATTCTTTTCGTTCTCAATCACCTAAGAAAATAATAAATTCTGCTGTAGTTTCCAAGAAATAATAAAAAAATTCTCAATGAAAATTAGTCTAAAAGATTCGTTTCACAAAGTTAATTGGAAATCCAATACCAAAATAGGTCTTAAATAGATGTTAGCGAGCTAAAAAAAAACAAAAAAATACCTTTGGGATTTTAAAGTTCTTCAAACTGGCAAAGTTCAGTGTTGCTGGGAATTCAGCGCGAACAGATGCAGTTGCCTTTTTTTCTTGTGCGGAAATCCTTTCAAGCTTCAATTTCTGAAGGCAACAATAAAAGAAAGTCATCAAAAATACAGCAAGAGAAATGTATGATTGCGTCAAATAATAGAATTTTATGAATGCAACGCCGTAAGAAATGCTACCACACAAGTGCCAAAAATGCTGAACAAGAAGTCAAAAATTCAAAAGACCCGTTGGTTTACCTTATTACTGCTTAAACCTTCCAACTTCTCCTTCTTATCTCGTTTCACCGCCCTTCTCATCCTGTCTTCCTCTCGCCTTGCATTCAGGCGAGCTTGCTTTTGACGCGCAATTGCTTTTTCTTCCTTGGAACGAGAAGACGATGGTGGCTGCCCAACAAGACGAGAAGGCCTAAATGGTGAATTCACTAACGTACGAAACTGGAGAATGCTCAAAAATTCAGCGAAAGATTACAAGCAGATAAGAAAAATTTGCCGATAAAAAAACGCACGGTGGCGATATATTCGACGTGTATTGAGACGGTGTAGAAGAACGCGATGATGCTTGTTGCTTTACTTTGAGAATAATCTTTAAATCTGACTGCGGCTGTTCGTTCCCAGGGGTACTTCTTGAGCTCGGAGATGTCGAATTTGCAGGCGGTGCTGGAGGGCTTTCTCGTTTGGAATGATGAGACTAAAAAAAATTTAATACGGAAAATTCAGCATGCAATCCTGCCAAGTAAAGACGGAAGCAGCAACCACAAACTATCTCTTGAAAAGACTAGTGAGAAACGAAGAAAGTCGGTGATAAAAGCCCATTTGGATATAACTACTTACCTCTAATTTAACGCTCATTTCAGGTTTTGAGTTAGGCTCATTTTTAACAGACGAATCGCTAACTACAGGAGATTCCGCTTCATCATCATAAAGGTCGGATTTCGCATAAGGATTAACTGGAGCTGATACACTTGGTGAAGATTTGCTATGCAGTTTCCCCACAACTGCTTCAAGGCTTTTTGGTGACTTTCTTGGTTTAAGAATACCCGGTTCATTTTTGGGAGTTGAGGGCACTAAAGGAGCAGGAGTTAGTGAAGGAGACGGTGAGGCCGCAATAGGCGTGTTCGAACCCGTACTTCCAGCACTGAAAAAGGATAAAATTTGACAAAAACGAGTACACAAATCAAATTTCCAACCAGCTTCAAAACCTAATGACCAGCACAAACCTAGATTTCAGTGATGACTGACTGGAGCCAGCGGTTGCAGAAAACTTGTTATACTGCGAGGGGGACGGATAAGCCAGAGGTGTGGTGTTATTAGAATGCTGAGATGTGGTTGGGATAGCAAGGTTACTTAACGTTAAGCCTTGTGAGGATTGCGCAGAAGACGGAGACGTTATCTCATCGTCTGAAGAACCATCCAAACCTTCTCCTCCAGATACTGTGTTCATACGACTAACACTTGTTATCATAGCTGCTAAAAAATTTTTGAAATGAGAGTTCTCAGCTACATAACAAAAAGCATCTTGCTAAGTCCCATCTAACTAGACCAGCCAGTTATCAGCATTTTGAGAACTAAAACGACAGCAGCGAGGAGTAAGAAAAAAACCTTGCGGGGAATGTGTCGTATAAGGCATTTCAGAATAAGAACGTTGTAACACTGGCCGATCAAGGGCCCCAGGAAATTGGTGCGTATGAGTCTGAGAGGCTGCTAACTGGGCTGCTTTCCG